GGTGGCGCATGCTGGTAGTCCCAGCTACTCCAGAGGCTAAGACAGGAGAATCGCTTGAATCCAGGAGGCAGAAGTTGCCGCGAGCTGAGATTATGCCATTGCCCTCCATCCTGGGCAACAGTGAGAGAGACTCCGTCTTCTTTCTTTCTTTCTTTCTTTCTTTTTTTCTGAATCGGAGTTTTGCTCTTGTTGCCCAGACTGGAGTGCAGTGGCTGATCTTGGCTCACTGCAACCTCCGCCTCCCGGGTTCAAGCAATTCTCCTGCCTCAGCCTCCTGAGTAGCTGGGATAACAGGCATGCGTCACTATGCCTGGCTAATTAAAAAAAAAAAAATTTCTTTCTTTTGAGACAAGAGTCTTGCTTTGTTGCCCAGGCTGGAATGCAGTGGCAGGATCTCAGCTCACTGCAACTCCACTCCCGGGTTCAAGCAATCCTGCCTCATTCTCCTTAGTAGCTGGGATCACAGGCATGCACCACCATACCTGGCTAATCTTTATATTTTTAGTAGACACAGGGTTTCGCCATGTTGGCCAGGCACTCAATTGATGTTTGCTGAGCAGATAAATGCCTAGAATAGACCTCAGCAGGGTTTGGTGGCAAAGTGGGTCAGGGAGAGAGTTTACTGAACAGCCTGGTGATAGGGGAGAACAAGTGGCCAGAGGGTATTAATCTGTGACAGGGACCAGGGGTCCGTGCTGGGCAGCAGTGTGGGAGACACACACAGATCCTGGCCACACCTCAGCCCTCCCTCCAGCCTGATGACCTGCCTCCCTCCCTTGCAGAGGTTCCGGTTCTGTGGTGATCTGGACTGTCCCGACTGGGTCCTGGCAGAGATCAGCACGCTGGCCAAGATGGTTGAGTGCACAGGGTCTACTCTGGGTGGAGGAGGGGCGTTGGGGCTGGGGATTGTGGGTGTAGAGGATGGTGAGGTTTCTCTGGGGTTAGGACCTCAGTGCTCTCAGCCTGTGCTACCATGCTTTGTGATACTGATCAGCGGCTGGCCTGCTCTGAGCCAGTCCCTAGGAAGGCAGGGTGAGGTATGCCAGCCTGGCTGATACAAGGACTTCCCTTCCAGTCCTCTGTGAAGTTGCGGCTGCTCTGCAGCCAGGTACTAAAGGAGCTGCTGGGACAGGGAATTGATGTGAGTATAAGACCTAGCACCCTATTGTCCCATGACCTTATGACCCCCACTGCCCTGAAACTCTTCACTAGGCCCGGGGAGACGGGTGACCCAGCCTCTCAGCCTCTCTGGGCATCTTCCATCCTCCTTTCCAGCCTGTCTGTTCCTTACAGGATCAGACAAGGCTGGGGGTGAGGGGGTGAGGGGCTGGTGAGCAGGGGCCTGGCACCCCCTGAAGGTCTCCTTTCCCCATAGTATGAGAAGATCCTGAAGCTCATGGCTGACACCAAGTTTGGTGAGTACCCTGCTGAGTCCACAGGTCCTCGGCAACCCTGGGAACTTGGCATGGTGCCTGGTACAGAGGGGCCCACCCATCTCCCCCAGCAGCGTCCTTAACCTACCCTCCCTAGTGGAAGAGCATGAGGGAAAGAAAGACATTGGCAATCCCAACCCGACCCCCCACACTCCCCACCACCAGCTCCTGGTGGGGCAGTAGCAGTGCCTGTCACTCAGGAGGCCTGGGGGCTTTGAGCTGAAGATAATAGGCAATAGGGAGGTGGCTGGGGCCACAGTGACACCCCCCGCCTCTCCCACGGGTCCCTCAGAGTCAGGCGATGTGAAGGCCACAGTGGCAGTGCTGAGTTTCATCCTCTCCAGTGCGGCCAAGCACAGTGTTGATGGTGAATCCTTGTCCAGTGAACTGCAGCAGCTGGGGCTGCCCAAAGGTACGGGTTGTGGGTGGGCAGCTGGGCAGCCTGTGGGCCAAGGGCTGCTAGAGAGCAGGCCAGGCCCTGTGACCCTGAGGTGTACCCTGCCCTTTCTGGGCCAGGAGCCTGAGACCTGCCTCTGAGCAGCCCAAGGCCAGCCCCCACCTGCTACCTCCAGAGCTCCTCCATTCTACCTGCAGAGCACGCGGCCAGCCTGTGCCGCTGTTATGAGGAGAAGCAAATTCCCTTGCAGAAGCACTTGCGGGTCTGCAGCCTGCGCAGTAAGTATGAGGCCAGCCAGGGTAGACTCCAGGCTCATTCTTGAAGGGGCATGCAGCATGCAAAGTGCTAGCTCCAGGGAGATGACTTAACCAAGGTGATATACTGAGCAGCCGCAGAACTGGGGCCTGGCCCTGGTTCTCCTGACTCCAGCCGAGGTTTCTGGCCATTGAGGTCTGCTGTACGTGATCCAGACTCCTGACTGTTGGGACCTGCCCTGTTCTGAGCCTGGGTCAGGGAGATGGGAGCTTCACAGAGGCCACACAGCCTTGCAGAGTTGAGGGCTGAGCCAGGGTGTGGGCTGAGGGCCACTGGCTTTCCTGCCTTTGATCCTGAGAGCCACCCACCCCATCTCCCAGCGAATCGGTTGGCAGGTGTGGGCTGGCGGGTAGACTACACCCTGAGCTCCAGCCTGCTGCAGTCCGTGGAAGAGCCTATGGTGCACCTGCGGCTGGAGGTGGCAGCTGCCCCAGGTACCCCAGCCCAGCCTGTTGCCATGTCCCTCTCAGCAGACAAGTTCCAGGTCCTCCTGGCAGGTGAGGCTCAGCCATTCCTGGAGGGTTAAGGGTCCCTCCCAAATCCTGCCTGACTGCCTCCCGCCTGCCCACCTCTTCCCTCTGCAGAGCTGAAGCAGGCCCAGACCCTGATGAGCTCCCTGGGCTGAGGAGAAGGGAGTTACAGGCCTGTGTGGAGCCGCCTTACTTGTATGGAGTCATGCCCTCTGCAGCTGCTCTTCAGGAGGCACCCCGCTTCTAGGAAGCTGGGGCCCTAGCTGGGCTCTGGCCTCCCAGATCCCCGGCTGCCTCACTTCTCTCTCGAGAGCTCGGCTTAGGGCTCGTGAGGACCTTTCCCAGCATTCCCTTCCCTTCCCTTGAAAGGCAGTTGTTGGCTGTTTTCCTGAGTAGGAAAAATAAACAGAAGCATAAAGGAATGTGTGCAGGGGTTTCTGTTTGGGTTCAGATCAAGGGTTTTTGTGAGAGAACCAAAAGTGACGTACGGGCCTCCTTGGTCCATCACTCATTTTCTTTTGTCAGTTGCTGATCGAAGCAGGCCACAGGTGAGGCAGACTGAGCACCAAAATGCATCTGCTTGTCTGTTGAGAGGAAAATCAGGGTTCTGGCTCCCAGATCTGAGATGTTCTTGGCTCTACCACCTTTGCCGTCTGGCCCTGTTCTCAGGCTGGCACCACATTGGTGTCCCCAAAGCCAAGTGCCCCTTGTAGAGAAAAGAGAGTGCCCTTGTTTCACTGCCATCTTTTTTTTTTTTTTTTTTTTTTTTGAGATGGAGTCTCGCTCTGTTGCCAGGCGGGAGTGCAATAGCATGATCTTGGCTCGCTGCAACCTCCGCCTCCTGATTTCAAGCAATTCTGCCTCAGCCTCCCAAGTAGCTAGGACTACAGGCGCACAGTACCATGCCTGGCTAATTTTTGTATTTTTAAGAGAGACAGGGTTTTACCATGTTGGCAAGGATGATCTCAATCTCTTGACTTTATGATCCGCCCGCCTCAGCCTACTGCCATCTTTAGGAAGAGAGAGGGGGCCATGTCTGAACCACTCATAGGCAAGAGGATCGGTGTTACGGACTGAGTGTTCATGTTCCTCCAAATTTCGTATGTTGAAGCCTCTGTTCACATGCACATACCAGGTAAGGGCCGTGTGAGCACACGGCAAGAAGGTGGCTGTCTACAAGGCCAGGAAGAGGGCTGTCCACAGGAACTGAATCTGCTGGCACCTTGATTTTGAACTGCCCAGCCTCCAGAACTGCGAGAAAGAAATCTGTGCTGTAAGCCACCATTCTGCGGTATTGTTACAGCAGCTGGAGAAGACTAAGGCAGATGGGATCCCAGGAGTGGCCCAGGCCAGCCAGGCCTCCTTGTAGAAAAGGCCAATGCCAAGGTTGGCACACAGGGTATAAGGAGGACTTGCCTGCAGTATCTTGTGTAAGGAACCTATCAGAATAATGGTTTGCTTCCCTGGCCAAAGATGGAACAGTTTGAACATCAAACGAGGTAAGTACTGACTCCACTCCTTACTTCTGCTTCTGGGAAAATGAAGTAGGTCTTTTCCCTATTCCTCTCCCTAAGTACAGTTAACAACCCTGGATGTTACATATAAAACAAACAGAAAGACTGAGCGATGGAGAACAAGACTGCCTAGCCTGGCTGGGATCCTCAGGACGTGAGACTCCACACAGCAGAGAAATTTCTGAAATCTGGACCCCACAGCCCAGTCAAGGTGACACAAAACTGATCATCACAGATCTGTAGGATATACAGAAGGCTAACACTCATGATTACAGAGTCCCAGCAAGTAAGAGGGAAGAGAGTGGAATGAAAGTATTCAAAGAAATAATAACTAAAGGCCAGGTGCACTGGTTCATGCCTGTAATCCCAGCATTTTGAGAGGCTGAGGTGGGAAGACTGCTTTAGACTTTGCAGCCGGCCTGAGCCACGTAGGGAGACTCAGTCTCCACACACACAAAGAAATAAAATATTAGCTAGGCATGGTGTGTGCCTGTAGTCTCAGCTGCTCAGGAGGCTGAGGCAGGAGGACCAACCACTTGAGTCCAGGAGTTTGAGGCTGCAGTGAGCTGTGATCATGTCTCTGCACTCCAGCCTGGGTAACAGAGCTGAGACCATGTCTCAAAAAAACAAAAAAAAAAAGTGGTATATATACACAGTGGAATACTATTCAGCCTTTAGAAAGCAGAAGGTTCTGTCATTTGTGACATGGATGAACCTAGATGACATGATGCTGAGTGAAATAAGCCAGGCACGGAGAGAGAAATACCACATCACCTCACTTAGCCTGGAATTAAAAAGGCCTGGGGCAGTGGCTCACATCTGTAACCTCAGCACTTTGGGAAGCCAAGGTGGGAAGATCACTTGAGCCCAGGAGTTCAAGACCAGGCTGGGCAACATGGTGAACCTGTCTCTACCAAAAATTAAAAAAATTAGCCAGGTATGGTGGCACATGCCAGTAGTTCCAGCTACTTGGGAGGCTGAGGTGGGAGGATTGCTTGAGCCAGAGAGGTAAAGGCTGCAGTGAACCATGATAGTGCCGCTGTACTCCAACCTGGGCGACAGCATGAGGCCCTATCCCCCCCAAAAAAAAGTTGAATTCATAGAAGTCGCCAGTAGAATGGTGGTTAGCAAAGGCTGGAGGAGAACGGAGGTGAGTTGCGGGGGAAAGGGTGCAAAGTTCCAGTTAGGAGGAATAAGATCTGGTGATTTATTGCAGAGCGTGACAACTGTAGTTAATAACGATGTATATTTCAAAAATAGCTAAAAGTGGGTTTTAAATGTTCTCATCACAAAGAAATGATAAATATTAGAGGTAATTGATATACTAATTAGCCCGATTTGATCTTTTTTGTTATTTTTTGTTTTTTCTTGAGACAGAGTCTCACTCTATTGCCCAGGCTGGAGTGCAGTGGCACAGTCTTGGCTCATTGCAATCTCTGCCACCCGAGTTCAAGTGATTCTCTTGCCTCAGCCTCTGGAGTAGCTGGGACTACAGGCATGAACCACCACACTCAACTAATTTTTTGTAGAGACAGGGTTTCACCATGTTGGTCAGCCTGGTTTCAAACTTCCGACCTCAGGTGATCTACCTGCCTTGGCATCCAAAGTGCTGGGATTACAGGCATGAGCTACTGCTCCCAGCCAATTTGATTATTCCATACTACATACATGTAACAAAACACACTGTATTTCATAAATGTATACAATTATTATTAAAAATATAGATAAGTCAAACTGGTATTCTAAAAAATGTTCAGGCCGGGCGCGGTGGCTCAAGCCTGTAATCCCAGCACTTTGGGAGGCCGAGGCAGGTGGATCACGAGGTCAAGAGATTGAGACCATCCTGGTCAACATGGTGAAACCCCGTCTCTACTA